GGTGCCTCATGACCGTTATGCTGTGTAGAAACTCTAGGCCGTGACACTTGGTTTCTAGTAGTTTTCACTCTCGTTTCTTTATTATTTTTTCTTTCTTACTTAAGACAAATGGAAATAGTTATTGATATGTCTAAATTTCTTAGAACAAAAATAAATTAAATAATTCATGTTTTTTAGTAAATTTTTTTAAATGATATTTTTATAGCATTAATTAGAAATAATTATTTTGTAATGTTAGTTGAATCTTAAAATTTCTATGGTGCATCTTCTTTCATAAATTTCTGGGTCCACCACTAACCAATACACTCACTGCGTCGATGGTGCCCGGATTTCTAGTGGTGTCTTATACTATAAAGCGCCATACATCAAACTTACCTCTATAAAATAATAACTGCAGAGATTATAATGAAACGTACTTTCATAAATATGAACTAAATATCAAATCATCACATCAACAAAACAAAAAAATAAAAAAAAATTAAGTTGATGCAGAAGAAAAAGACATCACAGAATCAAAATCCCACGTATGCTTCTTCGTAAGCTCTTCATTATCTTTTTCTTCTTTTATGCTCTTTACAACGTCAATTCCTTCCTTTATAAGCTTAGGCTTAAAGAATTTTCGGAAGTCTTATAAAATAGTTAAATTTATTGTTAACATTTCTCCACCACAAAGCTTCATGTTGGCTGGACAAATGGCAGGGGCCAAGTATTATCACATCTGAAACTAAGAAACGCTTTTTACTGTATTTGAGAATAGAAAGAAGAAGAAAAATGCGCATAAGAAGAAGAAGATAAAGAAGCCGAGGAGGAAGAAGAAGAAGCCGCAGAATATGAAGAAAAAATACTTCATTTGAGGAGTGAAGAAGTACAACAACAATGAGAAGAATAAGAAGAAGGACCAAAGCAATAGAAAGAAGAATTTCTTCATTTGAGGAATTCAGAGGCCCTTCACTTTCTTCCTCTGTAAGAACCTGAAAAATTGAACATATAATTAACTTCTTGGTGACCATCTAAACATTTTTAATTTTCAGTAAGAATTTACGGTTTAGAATTGGAAAAAAGTGAAAACACTTACAGCTTTGAGGGTGTTGTAGAACTCTGATTTTAAGTGATAATCTATTTCCAATTGAGTGATTGCTTCTTTTTAAGAGCTTTACAAAGAATTCTACAGAGCAAATGGAAGTGAAAATACCAAGAAGCTGGGATAAGTTTCTTGGTGATTATTAATTAGGTTCTTTCTCTCGGTCTGTGAAATGAATTTTTCTTCGCTGCTTTCTTGAAATTTCGGGTTAACTTCCTGCTCATTATTATATATGAAGACTTATTGACAATATTTAATGCAATAAAAAGTTAAATTTTCATTTTTAATGCAATAAAAAGTTAAATTTTCATTTTTTTATTCATATTTTTTAATATTTAAAAATTCTATGGATAATGTCTTTGATAGGAAGAAAGGACTTCTTATTAAATCTTTAAATGGATAGTTTCTTTATCTCCGTCTGTTAATTCCATTTTTCTTAATTTTCTTAGCTATTTCCTTCAACTTTATGAAATTCTATTCTTGGAATTTACCATGAAACTTACAATATGAAATATCCACTTGTTATTGGTTTTCATAATTGTAAGTGAATATTGCATAATTTGGTTTTCAAATTACCAATTTTATGTTCTAAATTTAAAATAGTTCAATATTCTTTTCTGTCAAACATTACCACCGAAAAAAATATAGAAAAAAAAGTACTTTTTATTTTTACTAAAATTCCGAGGTCCTTTGTGCAGCTGAACTTAGTTACAAGTTTATTTGTACGCGTGAAATAAATGTTGAGCTAAGGGAATATTTAAATTGCAAATAATTTACTAAACCTTTTGACAATTACCAAGTTTGAAACAATTGAATCTAAGCTAGGAATAGCTTATTGTTAGAAGATCGTATAACAAAAAACATCGAGATTAACAAGTAAAAATATAAGACACCACACAAAAAGATACGATATTTACTGTGATCGGTACAACCCACATACATCCACGGATGAGACAAAAAATTCACCATAGTAACGTCAACACGACATATAAGAGAACACACACCATAAACCTGGTACCTAATTAACAGAGTGGGGTTGACCTAGTACGTAATCTCGTACATAATTAATATAGTGAAAACAATCCTTGTCAATCTCTAATCTAATACCTAATTAATAATGTTTAATCAACTCTTTGCATCGTATATCTTGTGTAACTCATCACTCTTTCATAATATTGAATTGGTTTCCACGCCTATATTTATAGGTAACATGGTAGATATTCTACTCTTAATAAAAATATTTTTTATTACTAATAGGAGACTCATTTTTCTATTTCTAATAGTTTTCACATACTTATAACAATTTTATTTCTTTTTAAATTAATTTTTCTCAAAAGATATAATTTTATAAGGGAACAATTAGAAAAGTAAGTCACAATATCCTAACACTTATAAATGTGTTATGAATGTCAAATTTGATTAGCAGAAGAGAGTTCTATCACTCAAAAAATATTATATGAAGGATTTGTAAATCCTTATTTCACGTAAACTTCTCATAAGACAGTTGCTAAATCTATAAACTTCCACAGCTTTATCTCAAATTCTCAATTGTCCAGAAGACACTATTACAATTTTTTTGTTTTTAATATGAAAATTAAAATCCAAAAGAGTTATAATACCCTAAGAGTAAAGTATATTCCAATCCAATAAACTACCAGGTAGAGTATTTAGAATAGTATTTTTTTTAAAATTGAGTTGGGTTATTATTATGAAAATATAAATTGAATTTGAAAATGTGTTTGGTAAATTTTTTGAAAACATTTTCTGAAAAAATTAAATTATTTTTTAGTCTTCTACATTGGTAAATTTAGCTAAACACATTTTATAATAAAAGTTTTAAAATTAATAAAAATACCCCCACCCACCCACCCATTAAATATCGATAGCCGGCTACCATCATCAGATGGTGACTGGAAGTCGTCGGAATGGCTCACCACTGGTTGGATCTGGTCGATCGTGCGTCGATCTAGCATCTTCAGCCAGATATATGACCAGATCTAATAATTGACGATGGTCATATCTTAGCTATCGTTGGCAACTAGATGTGGCTAGATATGACTTTCAACGACCATATTTTTTATCGTAGATCTGGTCAAAAAAGGTCAGATCGACCACATCCAACTAGTTGTGTGCCATTTTGACAGATTTATGCTATCTTCAGTGGTGGTGGTCAGCTACTGAGAATATGTAGATGAGTGGGGTGTTTTCATTAATTTATAAACTTTTATTATTGAGGTGTTTAATGAAATTAATAAATCTAAGGGATTAAAAAAATATAAATATTTTATTTATTTAAATTTTAAGAATATTAAAATAAATATGTATTTTGAATAATATTAGATTGGATAATATTTAGAATAATAAAATAAAAAAGACAGCTGTATACATCATTACGATTTACGCGTGCGGATTGCCAAAGTGAAAGTAAAAGTCAAGTCAACAAAAGACGGCTTGCAAGAAGTTCATATTTAGTAAAATTCCTCTAACTCTCACAATTTTAAAAAAATTATAAACAATGCCCCATGGTTTGTCAGTTGTTTTGCAAGTAAATTGCTTTAAGCTAAAATATATAATATTTTTTTATTAAATTCAACATTCAGATTCCACTCACTAACCGTAAATCTTGCTATTGTTGTTGGTCAAGAAAGTGCAAAAAGAACATGGTTTATATTCTTATTTTTCAGTTATTTTATTTTATTTATTATTATTGTAAATCTCATAATGCTTAATCTAATATCTAAATAATAATGTTTAACCAACTCTTTGCATCGTATATCTTATATAGCCCATCACTCTCTTATAACATTGAATTGGTTTTCACATCCATATTTATAGGTAACATAATAGATATTCTATTTTTAATAAAAATATTTTTTTATTACTAATAGGAGACTTGTTTTTCAATTCCTAATAGTTTTCACACCCTTATAACAATTTTATTTCTTTTTAAATTAATTTTTCTAAAAAGATATAATTTTATAAGGAAACAATTAGAAAAGTAAGTCATAATATCCTAACACTTATAAATGTGTTACGAATGTCAAATTTGATTAACATAAGAGAGTTCTATCACTAAAAAAAAAAAAAAAAATTGTACGATTTGTAAATCCTAATTTAACGTAAACTTGTCATAAGAGAGTTGTTAAATCTATTAACTTCTCACAGCTTTATCTCAAATTCTCAATTGTCCAAAAGACACTATTACAAATTTTTTTAATATAAAAATAAAATCCAAAAGAGTTATACCCATAAGGCTAAAATATATTCCAATCCAATCTCTACATTATTACGCGTAAGGAGTGCAAAAGTGAAGTCAACAATAGACAGCTTCCAAGAAGGTTCATATTTAGTAAAATTCCTCTAACTCTCACAATTTAAAAAAAATTATAGACAGTGCCCCATAGTTTTGTCAGTTGTTTTTCAAGTAAATTGCATTAGGCTAAAATATATTTTATTTTCATTAAATTTAATGTTCATATTCCACTCACTAACCATAAATGTTGCTATTGTTGCTCGTCAAGAAGGTGCAAAAGGAATATGGTTTATATTCTTAATTTTTTAGTTTTTTCATTTGATTTATTATTATTGAAAATATCATAATACATATTACACTATTATATTAACTTTAACAAATAAAAATTAAGAAATATACTTTTTTTCTTTCTTGACCTTGAGGTTTACTTTACAAACCATTAGGGTTCTAATGTTTTCTCAAACTTGAGAGCTAGTCCATGACAATTGCCCTCGAAAAATTAATACATTATATGGCTTTTGGATAATTTGATCAAAAATAATTATAAGTTTTCATTTTAATTCAAATATATAGTTGGAAACTTGGATGGAGATTAAAGTTTGGGGTGTTAATGTCAGTTTATAAAAATTTCTGGTATTGACATTATTATTAGAACTTGGGGGTGTTCACAAGAATCACAACAAGCAAACAAGGAAACGTCTTGAGGTCACAACACAGAAAACCTGTCGGCTTTTGCTTTGTTGACTGATCGGTTCAGAGTTCATCTGTCGGATTTCAATCAGTTCATCTTTAATTCTTGGCTGCAACACCTTCAAATCTGTAAGTTGTCGAACATTCTCGTTTCTTTAAATCTATGTTTTTGTTTTCTGGTTTTTCCATTTTAGTTTGAAGAAGCTAATCTTAGATAAATGAACTAATCTTTCAACCACATGGGATCTGAAAATAAATTTATCTTGAATATATGTTGATATAAGTTTAATTTTATAGATCCACACAAGATCAGAGTTTAAGAATACGATTTTTCTTTTCCTGGAAAGTTTCTTTAATAATATGTTCGAGAAATTAGATTTATATTTTGATTTTTCAACTTTTCAGTTTTACTTTTCCAGGCAGGAGGAATTGCAACTTGCCCCAAACATGAGCACTAAAAGAGTCCCTTCATATGGTTCGTCTTCTTCTTCTTCCAGTAGTTGGAAATATGATGTATTTATAAATTTTGAAGGTGAAGGCACTGGCAAGAATTTCACGGATCATTTGTATGTTGCTTTGTATGGAGAAAGATTTAAAGTATATAAAATTGACAAAGAAATTGATAGAGGAACACCCGTTTCACCAGAACTTGTAAGAAAAGCAATTGAAGAGTCAAGAATTTCAATTGTTGTTTTCTCGAAAAGTTATGCTTCTTCTACTCGGTGTTTGGATGAACTTTTGAAGATTAGTGAGTGTAAGAACACAGTGGGACAAATTATCATTCCAATTTTCTATGATGTGGAGCCATCTGTGCCAAGAAAACAAAATGGAGACTTTCGAAAAGCATTTGCTGAACATGAAGAAACTTTGAAAGAGAACATAGAGGAGGTGCAAGTATGGAGGAATACTTTGAAAGAGGTGGCCAATATCTCTGGATTTCCCTTGAAGGATAGGTAAATTTTCTTTATTCTTCTTAAGAATATAGAGAGCTTTATTTCTTCTTGCTGTTTCTTGAATGGAAGTACTTCTTGGAGTTAGGAATCAGTTAGCCAGAATTATGAATATTTTGTTAATTCTTGCAATATTTTCAATGGAAGTAGGTATAGGGTTGTGGATGTGTTGTTGTGATGGGATAGTACATGAATCATATGAAAAAGGGATTTGAGATGGTTAGTTAATTAGTAGTATGAATATGATGATGAGTATGATTATTAATTATGTTTGATGAAGAGTACGTTTGAGATTTGTATTTTGGTTTATAATGTAAAAATTTAATAAATGTTGGTGCAGGTACGAGTCAGAATTGATTGAAGATGTTGTTGAAGAAGTGAGAAGAAAATTAAGTGTTTCAGGTTCAAGATTGATGAATTTGAAGAAAGTAATAGTTGGTGTGAGTTCATGTTTAGAGCAGCTATGGATGCAGGCAGAGATACGAAGGCCAAGGGTTCAATGGAGGCAATCATCAATTGCCCCAACTCTAATCCCCTGTTTTTTTTTGAGCCTTTTATAGAGTTTTGAAAAAATGAAGTCACCGCTTGACAACGACGTGTTGAAATATTTGTGGATATTCCACTGCCACATGCTGAGCTGCGACATTTTGAGTTTCATTGACCAGTGTTTTAGGCTTCTCTCATTGGCTATTATGATGACAGCTTTGTATTTGATTTGGCTTTCTTTTCATTGACTAGTAAGATGCTAGCTTTTATTGTGTAAGAATTTCAATTTGAATTAAAATTTAAATTAGAACCTTCTCATCTCATCTGCCAACTATTAATTATATCTTTACGGTTGCAAATTAACCTACTAACTGTACTCATTTCAAGTTTGAAAATCAGTAAACTTCAACTGAAGACTAATTTTTAGTGAATCAAGAGAAGATTTGTTTTCTATTTTCAGGTTTCATTGATTAATTAGTATAAAAGAGGTGTCATCATAAACATATAAATACTAATATTCTTAAACTACACATAAACTATTATAGTAATGTATATATATATATATTTTAAAACAAAACGAGAGAAAATCAACTCCTTTTTTTGTTTTTTTAAATAGTGTATACAGTACAGGGCCAGCCAAAGTCATTGCATGCCTCAAACTATTACATGTGGAGAAAGAATATATTGTATATAAATTTCCAAAAGCTTTATCTTTGAATGTATAATAAGATTACTGAGCTTTAGAGAATCTAGGAAAGTGAGCGTGCACTAAAACCTGCTCTCTAAATTTAATATTGATCTTCAAGTTACCTATTTATATCTATTATATTTTATATTTTATATCAAATTTACACGTGTAAATTTCAAAAAATATTTACCTATTAAATTTACTATAAAATAGGTATAATTTAATATTTACCTGAGTTTGAGCAACTAACGAGTCGTAAATGCCAATGCATATTAAATTACTAATTTTAATTTTAAAATGACAGTAAATATTTCCTGAAATACGTGTAAATCAAATTTATATTAAATTTGAATTATACCCATTTCGCTGGAAATCAAATTTAATAAATAGGAGTTCATTTCTCCTCTCTCTCTAACTCTCCGGCATCACACACACACCCTCTACTTCGGTCATGTTTAAAATTTGATAGTGAAGTGAAAACTTTTAATATCAGGTAACATTAGAATAATTTTAGCTTTTAAGACTAGAATAATTCTAAAGTTAGTTTGTAACTAATAAAACTTATGTTAAACCAATATAGAAACTGTCTAGAATTATAGATAACAAATACGGACAGAATGAGATACCTATCCAAATACAAACGTATAATGATATTTCCATCAAAGTATAATTTTATAATACTTGTATCTTTTGGGTATTCAACCTTGAATTTTAAGTTATTATGGTTTACCGATTTGTATTTAAAAAATGTTAGGATAATAAACTTCTAACCAATGTTTTAAAACCCAACCCAGGGTGCAACCGGCACGTTTCCGAGTCCCCGATGATATCGGTTTGATCGCTGGTCAAACCAATTGACAAAAATTTTAAAATTCAGCAAATACACCACTAAAAATATACTGTACGCCTATATGTTTGAACTTTATCAAAAAACACACTAAATGCAATCGCACCGGCGACCGAGTTGGCGACGGCAACACCCCAGATGCAAACCAATCATCCCCTGAGCCCATTCACTAAAATCTACCAAGATCTGGCCGAAATAGGTTCGATTTAAGACGATTCACCGACGCTAGCGTGGGCATTCCGGCCAGCTCTCATCCCACGCCAGGCGGCGAAAACACCTCCCATCACCAGGAATCAATCCCCTCTCCTCGCCGACCAAAAACCCAACCTCACCCCACCCCTGCTTAGCCTCTCAATCGCCAGTGAAATCAAGTTGCCTGCGCCAATTTGTCGTTCTTTCCGGTCGATTTACTCACCTAGAAAATCAATGATGTCACCACCATTACATTCACACGGCGCTTTATCTTCAAGCCCTAAGTTCCGCGAGTCAATTGCTGCCAATCATCCACCCAACCTAGGGTTTGGGTGAATAGAAAAGTTATAACCCCAGCCCGTTGAAGCTTCTAGGTCTCCGTTGAACAGGTCTAACCAGCCGAGCCGGGCTGGTATTAAAACAATGGTATAAACCGCCCGTGAAGCTTCGGTCGTTGGTTCAAAACGACCAGGCCGGGTCGGGTTTTAAAACAATGGTTTTTATTGAAACTTCAGTAATTTACAGCCTTCAACAAGTTCAATCTGGAGGGCCAAACTAAGTTTTCAAGGAGGGAAATTTACAGCCTTTAACAAGTTTAGAGAGGGATGAGTCCCTCCAATCTTATACAGATAGGTTACGCGAACTCACAAAGTGGCTCACACTCCTGAAGAGTCCGTTCAGACTCTCCTTATTGCAGGGGTTCGCCCGTAGACTGACTATATGAAAAGAGCTACAGTGAGAGAACGATTTCCCTCATCGTTTTACTACGACCTCCTTGAGAAGTATCTCCGAATAGAAAATTTTAACGACTGCATCAATCGCCACAACCCAGGCCGTCAACCCGGTGTTTCCGGCCGAGGGGAGAACAGTAGAAGGTGCATCGCAGTGGGCTAATGACGATCAGCGAAAAGGGAAGAATAATGATTCGGGCCAAAAGTTACGCCCAGTCTCTTCGTCGCAATCGCGACAAGAAATAGTAACACTTCTTTGAATGCCTCCAGTATCAGAATTCTGGTAAATCAGGGGAGGTCAGCTGCTGGAGAGTCGGAAGCCCATGAAGAATCCCTTTCAGCCAGAACAGCAAAAATATACCGCTATCATCGGACAATAGGCATCACACGATGAGGTCGGCTCTCAAGCAAGCAATTGAAGACCTCATCAACATGGGCACTTCAAGAGTATGTTGACGGTTGACTCCCGTCGAGAAAAGATCAAGAGGAACGGGGAAAGGTGTCGTGGTCGCAAGGCCTCTACTATGTAGGGATCTTTTCAGAGGCGCCCCCTGTGGGGTAACTCTTGAGATTCCTAGGAAAGTGATGCCGGGAAGTCGCCATGACCCCTTGAGTGTAATGAGCATGGCGCCGAACCTGCTAGCTCGCAGGGGAAAGAATTACCTTCTCTGAAAAAGAGCATACGACTACATCACCCCCAAGACGATGCATCATCATCGCGTCTCAAATAGGCCAATGCGAGGTCCACAGAATGCTGGTCGACAATGGAGCGACGTGAAATCCTATTCCAGTTAAGCCTTCAAAAGATGAACTGGACGAGGCAAGACCTAAAGCTCACTCATTCCCCCTCTACGGTTTATACCGAGGATCACCTGATTCCAAGGGAAACGATTTGTCCACAACGTTGGGGAAAACCAATGAAGTGACAAAGGTGACGAGGTCTTGGTGGTAGATTGCCGTCCGCCTTCAACAGCATGCCTGGATACTTCTACTACGAATTTCAGGCTGTCACTTCTATTACCATATGAAATAAGTTCCCCACCCCGTAGGAATCAGGAAGTACAAGGATCCAAAGTGAATCTCCGATACTGCTACATAAAGGCAGTCGATGGCCTGCAAGGGAAAGGGGAAGCTAGTGGCCCCCCTGACACGCCATGACTAACCAAGATCGAGCCATATCTAGACCAACAGGATAAACATGATCCACGTATCCAGAGGTGTCTTCACAGCGGGCCAGTTGAGGACCTGTCTGAGGTATTGGTCGATGAAAGCGAGTCGACCAGAGTATTAAGAATGCGGAGTAATCTCAATTCACACGCATCAAAAAATTGAACGAGCTTCCTTAGAAAAAACATCACTGTTTTTGCATGGACTTACGCCGATATGAATCGAGATCACCGAGCGTATAATGTCAGCTTAAACATTGACAATGCATCAAGCAGTCCGCCAGAAGAGAAGCAATGAACCCTTTTGAACGGTTTATTCAGAGAGGTACTTTACCGCAGTTGGGGTGCCAACCTGCTTTTTAGTAAAGAAACCAACGGAAATGGCAGACCTGCATCGATTTCAACGACCTCAATAAAAACTGATACAAGGATAACTTTTCGCCTGCGAGGATCTACCAGCTCCGTTATGCCACTTGCTGGGTGAGCTTACGAGCTTTATGGATGCCTACTCAGGATTTATTAGATCTCGATATACATCAATGAAAGAGCATACCTCTTCATTACAAATCGGGGACGTATTGTTACAAGGTTATGTCCTTCGGCTTGAAGAACGCTAGGGTAACTACCAGCGGTGGTTAACGTATGTTTCCGAAACAAATCGGCAAAACAATGGAAGTCTATGGTGAGACATGCTAGTTAAGTCGCATGACGCTTTCAGAATCACATAGCCATCTTGCCGAATGTTCGACTGTACTCGAAGGTACAGAATAAACTCAACCCTCTAAGTGCTCATTGGTGGTATCCTCGGAAAGTTCCTGGGGTACATGTTAACCAACAGGGAATCAAACCTAAAAAAGATCCAAGCTCTCTCGATATGAAAAGCCCCTGCCACAAAAAAGAGGTCCAGAACTTGATGGCAGATAGCGGCTCCAGAGTTGCTTCATATTGAGAGTAATAGACGTGCTACACATTTTTATGTGCTTAAGGCCACAGGAATTCGAATGGACTCCAGAGTGCGAACAAGCCTTTCGAGTATACTAGGAACACTTGGAAGACCACCTCTCCGTCATAGCTCTCCTAGGAAATTTTACTTCTGTACCTATCCGTCGTCCCAGCATACGGTTAGCGTTGCCCTCATCCGTAAAGAAGACAGAGTGTTAGTGGCCGTATAATTGATGCAAGCGACCTGTTGGATAGCCGGATACAGTACCCAGAGATGAAACGATTAGCTTATGCGGCTTGATTGCCTTAGAAAGCTCAACGACCTTACTTCCTGACCACACAACCATGTTCTGACCAACCTACCCGCTCAAGAAGTCCTTCAGAAGCCAGAGGCTTTAGGTAAGTTGCTTAAGCGGGCCATGGACTGAGTCAGTTCGACATCTGCATTACAAACTAAAACAACCATTAAAGGGCAGGTTGTTGCCGATTTCATTTCGAAATTCCATACCAATCTGATCGAGGACCCAGAGCAACCAACTGGCAGGTTGTTACAGAAACAACTTAGAAATAAACCTGGAGTCTCTATGTTGATGGTTCTCGAACAGAAAGGATCGGGGCAGGTCTTCTCCCTCCCAATCTCGAAGGGAAGCGCATTCATGGAATCCTTCGGTTGGGTGTTAGGCTACTAACGACAGGCTGAGTAGAAGCGCCTACTATCTGGTCTGGACTAGCAAGGGAA